ATCATTATTGTAGACTGAAAAAAAAGGTTTTAAAAAACAGTGGTGACTTGTAATATTTTCATCATCATCATCATCATCATCATCATCATCATCATCATCATCATCATCATCATCATCATCATCATCATCATAACCATCATCATCATCATCATCATCACCATCAACATTATCATTATATGACGAGGAATGCCAGGTATTGATGTCTGCTGCAAAATGGATTGCTGACAATTGCCCCCGTAGAACCAATGTGCTGATCTTGAATGACAGTCAGTACCTCTGCAAGGGACTGCAAGGCAACAGCTCGGGCATAAATGATTTGCGCCGCAAGTTCAGTGAGCCACAGCCACAATAAAAATCCAGTAGATTCCAAGCCATGTTGGAATCGAAGGAAATGAGGCAGCAGACCAAGCTGCTAATGAAGCCAGAGAGATTGAAGGAGACAGACGACCAACAACATACAGAGGAGTCTTTCCAATGACCAAGAGGGAAATCAGAGACCCTCCATGCAGAGCTAAGTACCAGCACCTGGAAGATATGTATTCTGGGTACTCCAATAAGCAGAAACAAAGTATCACATGTCGCTGGAACCAGGTTGAGCTAGCAAGACTGCAGTCGGACCATCATTGGAGCTTGAGATGGTAAAAGAACTTTGTAAATGAAGAGCTCAGCCCACGTTGCTTAAGATGCAGCCATGAAAAGAAGGATGTCAGACATATGTTTAAATGTCCAGGAAAAAATGGCAATTCGAATGGAGTTATTTGGATGAGTGGAGGTGCCTCTAAGTATATTGACAATGGAGCCGAAAAAGAGCCTCGCTCTCGCTCGAAGATTTCTTCATGGAGTCCGCCAGGCCCATTAAGGAAAAAAAACAAATCATCATCATCATCATCATCATCATCATCATCATCATCATCATCATCATCATCATCCTCATCATCATCATCATCATCATCATCATCATCATCATCATCATCATCATCATCAGCATCAGCATCAGCATCATCATCATCATCATCATCATCATCATAATAATAATAATAATAATAAATAATAATAAATAATAATAATATTAATAATAAACAGCAGCAGCAGCAGCAGCAGCAGCAGCAGCAGCAGCAGCAGCAGCAGCAGCAGCAGCAGCAGCAGCAGCCAGAATTTCAAGCAAGGGTTTCCCCAAGGAGCTGCACTATCACCGCTGCTGTTTATGTTCTTTATAAACAACCTTGCAAAATCCATTCCAAACCCAAAACGAACCTCCGCCAAGCTGATCTACTCCAGATATAAATGATTTTCGCCGCAAGTTCAGTGAAACTACAGCCACAATAAAGATCCAGTGGATTCCAAGCCATGTTGGAATCAAAGGAAATGAGGCTGCAGACCAAACTGCCAATAAAGCCAAAGAGATTGAAGGAGACTTATAAGATACAGGGATTCTTTTCAATTATCAAGAGAGGAATCAGAGATCCACCATGCAGAGCTGAGTACCAGCACTTGGAGAATGTGTATTCTGGGTACTCCAATAAGCAGGAACAAAACATCATATTTCGCTGGGACCAGGTTAAGCCAGCGAGACTACGGTCGGATCATCATTGGAGCATGAGATGGTACATGTATCAAAACTTTGTGAATGAAGAGCTCAACCCACGTTGCTGAAGATGCAATCCTGAAAAGTAAGATGTCAAACATAATATGTTTGAATGTCCAGGAACAATGGCAACTGGAATGGAGTTATTTGGACGAGTGGAAGTGCTTCTGGGTATAATGACATTGGAGCCGAAAAAGAGCCTCGCTCTCACTAGAAGATTTTTTCGTGGAGTGCACCAGGCCCATTAAGGAAACAAAAAAATCATCCTCATCATCACCATTGTCTTTCTCACCTGGACCAGGCATCGTACAAACACTTCCCACCTTTCATATCCTGGGCTAGCCTCTTGATTTTATTCCATATCTTCCAACTTTACTGTACATCATTCTGTGACTCTTCTCCATGTTCCATGTGGCCGTCCCCTTGATCTCTCACCCTGTGGATTCCAGTCCGACACTCTTTTTTTTTATTTCAGAGGCAGGAACTTCGAATCTAACATTCATTTGCCATATGACCGATTAAATGTTTAATGTAGGTGCTTTTACGCCCCCATTGACACAATTTAGATCATTTAGGAGGCCGCCTTCTGACCTTGCCAGTCAGGGCTAAACTGGACTGAGTGGGCTACAGCATCCTAGCCAAAAAAACAAAATACTCTAATAAACCCCC